TATTAATTTGAATTCTCATTTTGACCTCAGTTCTACAATGCTCCAATCAATGAGTACCAGGCAAAGCTGGTGTTAAAGCCTTTAGCTCATGATCGGAGATGGAAGTTTATTTATGAACCTTTGCATCATGATGTGCGACTTCTTTCTAAGAAGATTCCAATAACAAAATTCCTGAATCTTCAGGTTAATGCTTTAGTTCCTTCCCACAATCCTTGACTACTTTCTAGCAAATATGTGCTAAAAATATTATCTCAAAAATTGTTCATCTGATGCAGGTAGGAGTAGGCCATAGCTTTCAGTTGCATGCCACTGGTTGGAAGTGGAAGCTTACTACCTGTTTGGGTGGGGATGGTGTCTCTAGGATTCGAAATAAAACAACACTTGGCTTATGTCCTGGTATTGATTTCCGTTTTGGGTGGAGAGCTGATTATGTGTTTCCAGAAATTACAGGGCAAGTTAGCTACTGCTTATTTGCTTTTTTACTGAAAAAAATCACGTGTTAAAACATCTCCACGTGTCATGACAAGTGCATGTAGAAGTTGGAGAGAAGTTGCAATCTTTCTTAGTCACAGCAAATAGTTTGAAATGGTAATTTTTTCCCCTTATGAGTTCTCTGAGCGGATCTTGGATGATTTTCTGTCACAGGGCTATGGGTACTGGTGAACCATTGTTCAACATGAATTCTGGACGCTTACAAGCATCACTTGACAGAATTGAGACCATATATACGCACACGTCATAATGGTAGCTTCGTATGTTTAGATCATCAAAGACTTTCATTCAAGTTTATGTACATAAGAATCTTTGCCATGATTTGTTGGAAACTCTATTAGCTAAAGTAGCTCGAGTGCCCCTTATGAAAATATAGTTGAAATCAACTTTACTGTAGTTTCCTGTGTTCTTTTTCTCGAGGAAACATTTTTTTTTATCACTATATTCTGACAACTTGTTTGAGAAGTGACCGCTTACTCTGTAAATCCATCTTGCACGTTGGAGCTTTTGCCTGGAAACTCTTAGCTGAGCCGGCAAAATTGCATCTTAAATATTCCCCATTCTGATGGCTTCAAGCATCTAACATTCACTCTTTCATGGTATGGCAGATTGTGATCTGGCTGTAGTAGTATCTTGGAAGAGTTCTATTAGGCCATTAATACGCGGCCCTTCACTATGCCTTCTATCACGTAATTGAATCAGTATCATCTGGGAAGAAATGAAGTGTTAGGTGGAACGGCACAAAAATGAATCAGGATCATCTGTGATGTGTCTACCAGGCTGTGGACACTGATGAGCTAAACAAACTTTGCAGATATTAGAGATTTTTCTTCCCTTGCACGTTACGAGTTTCTGTAGTCAAACGGTATTTCTATTCAGGCATCAGTTATTCTGAGTCTATTTTCCGTTCGATGGTTGATATGTACCAGTACTGCTGTTTTAAAGAACAGATGAAGCAATGAGGTTGCAACTTGTATTTCTTCTGGCTTTTAAACTGAGGATCATCCATAACATATAGTCATGTTGTCACCTCTTGCCCCTGGAAACCTAATGAAGTGTAGTAATTCGTAAACATTCTTTCAGTGGTATGCATGGTGGGGTTGGCCAAGTGAAGGCTCTCTTGATATCAAATTGGTTGCATCTCGACACACTTTGATAGAGCATTGTCGGACCGGCCTAGGACACAACCTTGGACTAATTTTTTGAACTCTGCGATTTTATTCAAGTCTGGAATTCCAGCTTTTACTATAGCCATTCAAATTTCTGAGGTCCACTGAAACAAAAGGTGATGGTTCAGTCGAGGTCCATCCAATCTAGCCGTTGAGCATTTGGGTCTTCTGTACAACGGCCATCTGTTTTGCCTCCTATAAAGATTCAAACTAACACCCTTCTTCCCACATATGACATAACCTCAAAACATTCTCAGACAAACATTTTTTTTTTAAGTTGTCCTGCTGAAGAATTATCAGAAATTATCTCTGTTCAAGACTAGTAGTAATGGCTTCCTCCACCAAGCTCAGAAGAAGCTCATGTTCCTTCCCAATTGTTCTCGTCTCATTCTTGAATTTCATTCTGTTCATCCTCTCTTCAGCCTCTCTTGCTCCGATAATCCTCCTCAAAACGCCACCAACTTGCCTTGGTTGGGCATTTCTCACGGTCTCTTGCATCTCCCTCCTTTCCTCTTTCATTGGCTTCTACTCTCAACTCACCCACTTTTGCTTCATGACCCACGTCTCCCTTCTTCTCACCTCATTGATCGGTCAAATACTCGCTATTGTAGCGCTGTTCAGGAAGGAAAAATCGAGTCTGTCGATGCTAAAATCACCAAGGGATCCAAGAGAAGCAAAACTTTTGGTGAGGATGGAATGTGGGGTTTTGATGGCAATGTTCGTGATGCAAGTGGGAGTCTTAATCTTAACTTGTGCTGTCCACAGCTGTTTGATGAGAGAGTATGAAGGTTTGGAAGCTGATAAAGAGGCAGTGGAGAGAAAGAGGAGCATGAGGATTGCTAAGGTGCAGGAGGAATCCATGGCCAATGCAGCAAAGTTGGCTGAGATTAAATCCAAAAAATTGGATGAGAGGGTGAAGAGCAAGTATGGGCAGTGGGTGAAAACTGATTTTGAAGGATGAAAAATTTGTAGCATCACCATCTCTCTTGCTTTTGTGTGATGGTAATTGTAGACAGTCACCATGGGGTGGCTTAGCCTGTAGCCGCCTGCCTATGCAAACAAGGGTTGCCATATATATGGCGTTTGCCAGTTGAGAAAAGAGAAATGCATAAAATATTTTTCTTGAATCCAATTTGTGCTTGAAAAATTTTCGCATTTATTCATGCATTTTGTGACGAGTCCTGCACACTAGAATGCTGCAGAAGAAAAAGGTAAAATCACGCGCGCCCAAGTAGCAGGAGAAAAATTGTACTACTACTATGTTTTTTTTTTTTCCCAAAATCCATCCCCAAAAGTTGGACTTGATGCTCTGCGATTATGAGCATTGAGCAGAGGGATAAGAATCAACCAAAATCAATACTATGTTGGTTAAAAAGTTTCAACATAATTACAATCTATATAAACACTTCTGGATGGGGAAAAAAAGGTAGCAACAATTAACAAAGAAAAATGTAATTTCTGAAAATTAACTACATGAGACACTAACTCATACTCAAACCCATTCCAGACCAGCTTACTGTCAACCATTTTTCTTTTGCTTTTTTTTTTGCTGGTTTTTTTTGGAGGGGGGGGAGGTGTTTATCTACAGTGGTAGGATGAATTCAAATAAATGAATACACATAAATTATATCTAACCAATATTATAAGAATTCATACAAATGGTGGAAACAATAACCCACGTATATTTTGGGCTTGTGGCCACCACTAAAGCATTAAAATTTGGTGGGGGTGGGAGATTAAGGGTTCAAACTTTGCCTCTTACCAATTATCACAGGAAACAGTTCTACTTAAAAAATCCATACGGACGAGCAATGCATCCATTTGATCCGACGGTGATTCAGTACCCTTCCGCTCACCCTTGAGCCTCTCCCGTTCTTAAATTTGGTCAACTAAACTAACCCAGCTGGTTTACTCCCAAGTCCCAACTATTATTGAATACATCTGGAGATTTTCGTTCAAAATTAAAACTTGTTTTTGAATATAACCGGTCACAGCAAAATTTGCCTCCACCGAAGAGAAAGTCTGAATTAGAACATAGGAAGATGAATACTTTTTGTTTATATAAATCTTTTGGATCTGTGTTAATTAGCGAGAAATGTACAACCTCCTATTCCAACAATGGTTGTTGTGCTACATAATGAATAAAAAGAATGTACAACCGCCAAATAGTGAATAAATAATAACAAAAAATACCACATGCTACATGATTGTGCCCTATCAGAATCAATAATTACGAATTGTGACATATTAGATTATCAAGTGATACAATTAGTGGGGGGTTAGTTGAGTAGTCAGAGGAGGGCTGCTAAAGTTTTTTCGGCCATCAAATTTATAGGATTCGAATTATGTACATGTTAGTTGAGGGATGAAAAAGGTGCGAGAAGGGGTGAAAGGATTAAAAAAAAGAAGAAGAAGATTATCAATTGACATTTGGTTGCAATGTGGGGATGAATATGTAGAAAGGTGGATGCTAGTCTTCCACACGTTTCTCTCAGTGAGGTAGACATCCAGTTACCATACATCCGCTCATGGTGTTAATTCGAAACAATGTGCTCAATTACCAAAGTACCGGACGCCATTTCCCTTTCACAAACATCAGCCAGCAGCATTGAAGGAAAGGAAGAAGACAGCTTCAAGTTATGGCTCTTATTCTAGATGTGGCACCATCCACAGAGTGTTTTAGGTCCACAAGCCCTCATTTGCTTGTAGGTTATGACCAAGTCCTCTGTCCTCTACTATTATTATTTTTTTTTTAAAAAAAAAAAACAGTTTAGATGGATTCGATTTTGATCACTGTCGCAGATTAAAACATGCTTATAAAATCATAGATCGTTTATGGAGATTCTTACAAATAATCCATTAATATAGATATCTTTTTATGAAAAAGTGATCCGAAGTTATCAGTGAAGATAACTTATAGTATTTATTTATATAAGGGTAGGATTTTACGAAATTGCATTTTGGCTATTTTGTTGGGAAAACCATGAAACCACGACAAAGTGAGAATGTGATTGATTTCATTTAACCTGTCACTATAAAGTAAAGAGTTATTTGAACTGAGTAACCTGTGACTCTCAAACCTTGCATTCCGCACCAATAGAACATATAGAATAAATTGCTGAGCATTGATTAGAGATAGAGAGAGATTCCATTGGCAAACTGTGTCACTGTTAACTTAAGGGCTCTGAATTTTAATACTACTAATACCCGTCAATCAGCATTGACACCGGCATTCATCGAACAACTTCAGCGGGTCCTACGTGGGCTTAAATCCATTACCCAGCAGCTGATAGACAGGTCGGCTGCTGCTGAACTTTGTTAGTTGTCACATTATTGTAATCCTAGAAGAAGATCAAGCTACGATTCTACTCTTGCATTGATCATTGAACCACACTATGCTTTTGGCCTTATTCTACTTATACATTGAACCATACTGTGCATCTGTTTCTTAAAATCTATTTTTGCTAGAAGAACAGAATCCAGAATTTGTATTTGTTCCATCTTTAGTTTGCCCAAAAAGCTAAACCAATCTACAGAATAGAGTTGACAATGGCAACAATTGCTTTGCAGCGACCTTTTCTGTTGAAAACTTCATCTTTCGGAATCAAAACGCCATACCGCAATGACAGAGCTTCTGGCATTTGGACAATGTAAGGAGGCCCTTCTTGCATTAATTTTTATTATGTCTCAGAAGTTATTAGTTTTATTCTCTTTTTCAGATTTTTCAAGTCACTCCACGCAACAATGATAAGGTTCCAAAGTAAACATTGCACGCTAAAACTTGTTAAAATTCATAGGTCAGCGAATTGGAATCCTTCACAAACGAGAGAGCAAATGGAAATCTCAAAAGAGCTTCGAACTGTTTCTGCTACCGAATCTGTGCCGGTGGTAGCTCCAGCAGAACTCCAATTTGACAAGCCGCAACCACAGGATCAAATGCTCTTTCAAGAAAACCGACTTCAGTTTGGACAGTTTGTGGTTCGCAGGGCTGTACTAGACGAAGAGTATTGGGTGCGTTGACATAATTATTGGTTATTTTCCATGTCAGTTGGCAATCATGTTTTCTAGTTATTCCTCATGGCTAATTTGCAGCGGTAGCTTCGTCATTTTTTCTTTTCTTCTTGGGTGGTAGACAGCAGCTTGGCTGCGAGCAGAGAGTCACTGGGAGGACAGAAGAAATGACAGGTATGTACAGAAGCTCAGTTTAAGATGCATATGGTTCCTTCAGAGATAAGCCCATTTAGATCCCCACAACACATACATAGATTTTGCAGACAACACCAATAATTGTACTAAGCTCAGAGAGCAAGCTGGCCTATGTACTAAAGAGAAAAGGTGGTAAAGATTTCCAACGGTACACTAATTGCAATTAAAGGTTAAGTTATACAATCAAACAAATCCCGGTAAGGGTCTGGAGATTGTATATTTGACGAGGAAGATTTTTAAGAATGTCATTAACTCCAGTTGTTAACTGTAATGCAGATTTGCTGATAACTACAAAAGGAAGTTTGCGGAGCAGGTATAATATAGCACTTTATTAGTGTGAGATATGTGTCAGTTAAATGCATAGAGTATTCAAAATTAAAAACCATTGCTTTGTGCAGGAATATAATGCACTAAAAAGAAGATCCAACACACAACTAGGGGATAAATGCACCTGCATGGTGGCGGTATGAGCCGTATGACACAAATGCTCCCCAGTTCTGACTGTTCTTTGGCATCCATTTTTTCGATCTTCACTCAGAATTGTCTAGATCATAAAATCTCTCTATTTGAAATTATCAGGTAAAGAAGGAAAACAGAGACGTGAAACATACTGTGCTGAAGAGTGTCGTTGGAACACTAGACTTGAGCATCCAATACTTGTCACAAGGAGAGACCTTTCCAGGGGTACGAGTTTGATTTGAATATTCAGCTGATCATTAGTAGGCATCGAAGTTTGATTGCTTTAAAATCTGGATTCTGAATTGATCATCCGTAGGCATCCATGCTCACTGCCTTGCAGTCATTGAAAGTTTTGCTCTCTGACAGGAACGGGTGAAAAATCCTCTCTTCTGCAGTATTGATAGAAAATCCTGCAGAAGATATGGTTACATATCCAATTTATGCGTTGCCAAATCAGCACGCCGGCAGGGCATTGCAAGCAAAATGATTCTCTTTGCAATCAGCTCAGCAAAAAGAGATGGTGAGGATGCATTACTTTTCAAGATTTGTTGAAAGATGACTATTGTCGATTTTTTCAGTCGTCTCAGCCAGGTATCTGTGATCAGGCGCAGAACAGGTGTTTGTGCATGTACATAGGTTCAACACGCCTGCTCAGGAACTGTATCACAAGATGGGTTTTCAGGTAATTCCCTCCTTAAAGTTCTCTAGTATTCTTGCATGTAGTGATTTGCTGATGCTCGTCTAACATTCGCCTCCAGATGGTCGAAGCAGCAAGTTTTGACAAGTCAAATGAGCAAATTTATTTGCTTCAACTCGGATCATGAAATCCGTCCAACAAATTCTGTTTGTTCCTTGCAGAAGCCTACCTTTTCGGTGCAACCAACCTCAGCCCAAAAAAAAAAAAAAGGGGAACTGAAAACCGTATATTCAGAGTAGTCCAAGCTCCACATCGAAGAAACTATGAGAAAGATTGGGCTGCTGTCAATTTCTAATTTAGCACTATTATTACATCTAACAAGTTTTCTGGAGCCTTGTATTAGCTGCCTCCAGAGTCTAGATTCCAGACCGGCACAGCCACAAAGGAAACTAGCTGTCTAACCGTTGTAATTGTAATCTTTGATCAAACTGTTTGGTATTGAATATCAAAAAGTTGTTAGTAGTAATTCCTAAGTGGTAGTCCAAATGATAATGATTGGTTTCTTAAATGATATTACTTTACTTTTGGTCCATTGTCATAATTCTGCCTTTTTAAAAAAAAAAAAAAAAACGTCATAATTCTGTCATACATTCGAACTTGTTTGTATAAAGTGACTATAAATAAACTTTCTCTTTAAAAATGTTTGTTGTAGATGTAATTCCAATGAGTAGAAAAGCCAATGTCCGATATTATTAAATGTATGAAATATAACAAAATAGGATTAAAATTGTTAATTTCTCTTTTCGTCCTCAAATTCGATCGATTTGATTAGACTCGTCTCCCAATTCAAAATGAAGTAGTTTTTCCGAATAGTTTTTATTCATCCCTACATTGACAATTCTCATGGGATCACCGAGTAAAATGAGAAAAGAAAGGAGAGAAACGGAGTAAAATGACCCTCTTTCCTTCTACCGTCCAACCGTTCAAGGAGGCAGGCAAGAACAAGGAAACACATACACATTCACATGGGCAGCTGGTCAACGGGTCCAATGATTCTCCTCCTCCTTTCTCTGATTAGCCAATAATAAAGAAATACCCATTGTGGAAATCGTGACCAAATTTCTTGTTGAAAACAACACTCCATCTCAAATCAATAGTCCACCACAGACCATTGTAGTTTGAAATCGACCATACCAGTCAACCCGCTTTCATCTTGTCAGGCAAACTCCACTACTTCTTTTGATTGTTTATGCCCATTATTATTTGTGTATCGCTCTCCTAGAATTCTGATCAGATCACTTCCATTTTCTCCAGTTAGTAGTACTCCTCAACTTCTGAAGAGCCACCATGGCTGAAACTAAGTCAGATCAAGGAAGCCCATCTCTCTTTTCTCCATACAAGATGGGAAAGTTCAATCTGTCTCACAGGTTAGTGATTGCAGTTATCAGTTGAGTCCTCTGTCCCTCCCTGCAGATGCGTATTTTCCTGATCCTTCTTGATCAGCTGCAAATTTTCTAATCTTTTTTTTCTGTAACAAGCATGACTAGATAATTGAGCTCTAAAGCTGAATTCTTGAGCTTGAGATATATAGTAAGTACTCTATTAGTAGGAGTGCTAATATACTGGAGCTGCAGAATTTCATTTTTGGGCTGCCAATTTTGTCTTCATTTTTCTCTTACACTAATTTGTCCCTTTGCATGACTAATGACATATTCTGTTTTTCTGGGGCTACCCCATTTATATATATGATGGCAGGGTGGTTCTGGCGCCGATGACAAGATGCAGGGCCATAAATAGCATTCCTCAGCCTGCCATGGCGGAGTACTACGCCCAAAGAGCAACCAATGGTGGCTTTCTCATCACGGAGGGCACCATGATCTCCCCAAGTGCTGCCGGGTAATTCTGTACTTTATGCTTTCTGGATGTTTATTAGGAAAAGTATATTACTGCTACTTGGTCAATTATTTGAAACCGTAGGGCCTCTCTGATAAAACAACGTTGTCTACAAGTATTACTGTAGTTGAGTGGGATCCATATGTTTAATGTTCGCACAATTGGAGCCATTAGAGCTAGATATTTTTTCTTCATAAAGTTGGAACATCATTTTTACACTAACCAATCGATCCTTACACTGCAGTTTGGTATATAACGCAGTAGATTTGGAAGCTTAGTATAGCCGAAAGGAAGGAAAATATAAATGAGTTGTGTAATATTTTCTGATAAAATTTCACATTTCCCTTTAATTTTCGTTGTTATCTTTTGCATGGCATGATATTTATTTCATTTCTACGCGAGGGAAAGTTGAGCTGAATAAACATTTCTTTTCTTACGTTTGTGATGTGGATCCAGGTTTCCGCATGTGCCGGGGATCTTTACAAAGGAACAAGTGGAGGCATGGAAGCAAGTGGTTGATGCAGTACATGCCAAGGGTGCTATTATTTTCTGTCAACTGTGGCACGTTGGCCGTGCATCACATGAAGGTGTAATTTTGTGGTGTTAGTATAAAATAAAGCTAAACTTGACTAGAATTAATGGCTAATGCTAAATTATTTTATAAGACAAATTTCAGCTGTATTCGAGTATGATAACGAAAATGTGAGAACTTTTATTTTTTTTTCTACTATGCTGGTTTGAAGAATTATTGAACACAATGTTCAAGACCAAATGAAATTCGAACCGTTTCAAAACTACTTAGACACTTTAATAACAATTAGGCGATTATTCCACTTTTACTTACTTGGGTTGTAATATTCTTGATCAGTTTATCAACCTGGTGGTGGTGCACCCATATCATCAACGGGAAAGCCTATATCAAAGAGGTGGAGGATATTGATGCCTGATGGCAGCCATGGGATCTACCCTAAACCACGTCCATTAACAACAGCGCATGAGATTGCGCAAGTTGTGGAAGATTACCGCCAGTCAGCCTTGAATGCCATTGAAGCCGGTCAGTCCATTTTGTTTATCTATACATATTTTGACAATCATGTGTATGTTGAATCGGTTTGATTTTTCCATTAGCACTTCCTTGAGCTTGATGAGAATATTGCTAGGAGATTCTAAGGCACCATCACCCCAAGCTATGGCATTTTGATGTAGAGGAGGAGCTGCCGTGAATGGACTGCCATTGCTTGGTTCTTACAATACTATGTGCTTACTTTGTAGGATCTTCACAATCACTGGAGTCTGGTTCTGCATGACCTTTCCATTACATATTATATTTATTTAATATTTCCCTGCTGGAAATTCACAAAATGGGAAAAAAAAATACTCGTAAGACATACTTGGGATATTAACTGCACAGTAACATCAATACTTTACCATGGTGGTCCTTTTAGCTCTCCGGTTATGTGAGGATTCATGTAGTGTTCCTGGCTGTTTTTCGTTTGTGGTAGAAAGTAGTAAAATTGCCAATTTGTAGTAAATCAATTATTAGATCAATATCATTAAAAGTACTTAGTTGACAAGGATGTAACCATGAACTTAAAAGATCAGCAATGTGGAATGCTGAATGGAATCCAGTTCAGCCTGCAGTTGGCATTCCAGTTCCTTTGATTGTTTTATCATATTTGAGAATCCCAAGAGAATTGAAATTTCTCAGCTAACTGTGATAAACAAAAATTGTCATATGTCGTTGCTGTTGGCCTTGATGAAGTTAAAACTATGATTTGCTATACCAATTCTTCATGATTATATTCTGCACTCTATAATTATATCTTCCATGAGTTTCTTAGGTTGATGGATTAAAGGATTTCTTACTGTAACAGGTTTTGATGGTATTGAAATCCATGGAGCACATGGCTACCTAATTGACCAGTTCTTGAAAGATGGGATCAATGATCGGACAGATGAATATGGTGGATCTGTTGCAAATCGCTGCAAATTCATTGTGCAGGTGGTTCAGGCTGTTGTTTCAGCAATTGGTGCAGATCGTGTTGGTGTCAGAATTTCCCCTGCTATTGACCATCTTGATGCCATGGACTCTGATCCACTAAGCTTAGGCCTGGCAGTGATTGAGAGACTTAACGAGCTCCAACTGAATTCAGGCTCCAAGTTAACATACTTGCACGTGACTCAACCTCGATATACAGCGTATGGCCAGACAGAGGCAGGCAGACAGGGGAGTGAAGAGGAGGAGGCCCAACTAGTGAGGACCTTGCGAAAAGCTTATCAAGGAACTTTCATTTCCAGTGGTGGGTTCACCAGAGAGCTAGGAGTTGAAGCGGTAGCTCAGGGTGATGCTGATTTGGTTTCCTATGGTCGCCTTTTTATCTCAAATCCAGACTTAGTTTTACGCTTTAAGCTAAATGCTCCTTTGATTAGGTATAATAGATCTACCTTCTATACTCATGATCCTGTTGTAGGATACACAGATTACCCTTTTCTAAGCAATGGTACCAGTGGCAATGTACCACAATCACGTCTGTAATTTGCATGTTGTTCTATTATGGTTGAGGACTTGATAGGTTTATGCCTTCAACTTGACTGGTTTTGTTTAACGTCGTCTCATCTGCTTTTATAATGGAAGTTTCCAGTGTGTTCTTTGAATTTTATTATCCATACATCATGTTGACGGGGAGAGATCTCAATATATTCTGAACTAGTCCCAAAACGTACAGAAGACGATTGACCCCATTGCTTTTGGCGGAGAGGGAGAGAGTTCATAGAATTTTTTTAAAATTAATTATTGCATTCAACTTAGGATTTGTGATCATGACTGCACCACCCTTCTATTCCTTTCCCTTCCTACTCTCTGTGCAGCTTGGAAATGATTATTTCCAGTAGCAGTAAACAATGGACAAGCAGGCTCTGAGGCAGTGCCATTGAAGATGCAGAAGTTTCGTCTAGTCTACCATCCTTATTAGGATCAAGCTTTTCATCAAGCAGAGCAAAAACAAAAGCCTCTATCTCAAATCAATTGGCCCAGGCCTCTTGGATGTTATTCCAAATCTGCAGCCTAGTTATTTAATTTCATTTCTCTCCCTTTTAGTCATGGACTTTCACAAGTTTGAGTTTTGTCATAGTTCTACCTAGTTACCATAATTCTTAGAACTCTAGGAATAAGGGTCCGTTTGTTTCGGGTGAAAATATTTTCCAAGAAAATATTTTCCTAATTTTCCGTGTTTGGTTGCACAAAAGTTACTGAAAACATTTTCCTATGTAAAATATTTTCACTCATCTTATGGAAAACAACTTCCCTTCCAAACTTACTGAAGTTGTTTTCCGAAATGCATGCATTCCACCTGTAGTATGTTCCAAACTTACTGAAAACATCTTGTAGTATGTTCTTTTTTTTTTTTTTTAGTGTAAACAGGAGGACTCGAATCCAAGACCTCTTCCTTACACTCCCTCCCCCGTACCACCCAACCCAACCCAACCCTCCCCCTATTATATTCAAAATAAAAAAAAAACCTCATCCTGTTCATCCTATGCTAGTAATTAATTATGTATAATAGGGACATTCTTTTCTAAAGAAACTTTCAACAGTGAGAGTGCAAGATATATGTCACAATAAGCATTGCATGTGATTGATATTTGACACTAAATGACCAGCAATTTGTTTATTGTTTAAGGAGATATTTTTTATTCATATATACATTTCTCCAAGATTTTTTAAAGTTAAACAATGAGATAAATTTTCTTATTTTGCATGGAAAGAAGTATGTAGTTATAATGTGTAAAAAGTAAAGATAGAGATAAAAGTGAAAATATTTCAAAAGTTAAACAAACACCAGAAAAATGAAGTAAGAAAATATTTTCAATAAACTAACCAAACACCTGAAAATGATGAAAGGGAAATGATTTTCATGGAAAATTACTTCCACGGAAAATATTTTCCCAAGGAAAATATTTTACTTCCAACCAAACAGACCCTAAATTCTTATGACTCATAAACTACATTAGCAATTGCATCAAAATTATATAAGTTTACCCCAATTGGAATACGAATTACGCAAGCAGATCTTAACTAGATAAACTTTAACTTGTGATTCTCATCCCCCCTCCCCCAAATAAATAATCGAAGCCCTGTTTTGGCTTTACATATCAAGCTTAGAAACATTTTTTTTTCTTCTTTTTATAATTTGTTTACAATCCTTTTCCTTTTCAAAGTGTTTGTTTTCCTTAATTAAAAGATACGCTGGTTCCAAATTAGTTTTGAAGATTCCGAAATCTCGCTCTTTCCACTGCCCACAAAAATGCAACCAGAGTTGCATCGTACAATTTCGTATAATTCAAATTTCCACTGCCCAGAAGCACTGGTTCATTGGCCGTGAACTGTGCAAAATCGAGTGACGAGTGTTGATGGGATCGATCGGCTGCATGGTCGAAGTAAGGGTACAGACACGTTGACCATGAGAGCAGATTTTTCGAGCTTGCAAGAAGCTCACTACTTTTGCAAGATCATCAGGAGCCTCTTCCGTTAAGGTAATTCTCTTGATCGGCTAATTAATCAACAGAAAACGAATTATATCTTGTTTTGGTTCTATTTGTTCAATATACTCCAACATGTATTAAGATCAAGATGCCGACAGAATAATAGTAAGCACTTGTGTCAAAAGTCCAAATGAATACATGCATTTGGACTTTGTGTCAAAACACTGGATAAACAGGTTTCTTGTTAGGATAGAAAAGTCCCCAATTTTGTTCTACTCCAGCAGGCTTGAGATCTTCATTAAACATGGCAAAAATGAAGCCTTCAATGTGAGCCCCTGGCCTTTTAGGTGTACCAGCCTTGCTCAAGATATGCTGCTTGAAGTGCTTGTTGTACGTAGACGCAAGTTTTGGAGTTGTGAAATTCCCCTTCCCGGCAGAAGGCCATCCACTCTCAGAAACTGCCACTCCCACATTATGATTATGCACGCCTTCTTTCTCCATTGCCCAGTACACTGCATCTACCATAGCATCAAACAAGTTATGATAAGTCAAATTACCATCCACAACCACCGCATCTGTTGCGGTGAAGAGTGCATAATCTTGACGAACATGCACTGGATCGGATGCATAGGCGAAGTAAGGGTACACATTCACCATCAGAGGTGATCCCTTGATGGTTAAAAAGTTCAGAACATCGACAATTGCACCCTTTGCATCATCTGAGAATACGCTGGCTGAAGGCGGAAAGGAAGTTCCTAGCACAGCTGTTGACACTGATGTTGTCACGGTTACACCATTAAGGTTGTCATCGCTTAAGACAGACTGAAGATTTTTCATGGCTGGTGCAATACTGTCTGCGAACTCACCTGGGATGGCCTCATTTCCCACAGAAACGAATGCGAATGTAATGTCATTAGTATAAGGCTGTAGATTTGTCGTAAACCATGATCTTGCGCCGTCAACGCTTGCTGCTATGTTTGGTATATCTTCATTTTTTACGCCTAATGTGACATCAATATCACTGCCCTTTAGTGCTCGTAGGGCATCTCGATTTGGATCAAAAAGCCTCAGTTTGCCAATGCTATACTTCTTGTAAAGGGCAATGACTTCTGCGGCAGGAGGTAAGTTGTCCGCTACCATTCCATAACAAACGCCTATATCAATTTTGTCACCAGCAATGGCTATTGGGAGCAGCATAGTTGTGATTGCAAGAACCATGGGAAATATAATCAGCAAGAATGACTTCATTTGAACCGTTACATGCATATTTTGCTTGTCTTACCTAAGTAGAATGATATCTGAAAAATTAGATACATCAATTAGTGACTGGTAATATACAGCAATATTGTTAAATCACAAAAACGAAATCATAGTCAGAAGCACCAATTAAAATTTCATTTGTAATGGTGACTGCATTTCTCAATTTACCCCCTCCATCCCCCCCCCCCCAAAAAAAAAAAAAAAGAGGATCTACGTATGTTATACAGACATTTGTTTATGCCCTTTGGTGCATGAAACTAATGATTGGCAAAAAAGATAAACCTATCTATTTAGAGAACAGGATTACATTTACAAATAGTATCATAGCATTAGTAATAACTCCAAAGCTTAACGGCAATGGGGAAATTGGTGTAATGAGAAATTATAAACACGAAACGAATATTAATTAGAAAATGGCTTTTTATTTTTATTTTTTTTTTTGTGGGTGGGTTTACCACATATGATCAACTATTTACCTCTGAAAGAAAAAATAACAAAAGAGAGGAAAGGACTACGATGATAGAGTTACGAAAATGTTGATGGTACGGTAACCTGAAGGACATATACATGTAAAACCATGGACTTACAGGCAAATTAATCAGCTATAAGTTTGGTAACGACAGCCATAATTAGCAGCCCATATGCTCACAAGCTATGAAGATAACTTTGGTTTTGTACAATTGTCTCCACTCCAGTAATTAATAATGCTTTGGCTGGTAGCTATAGATAACAACGTTCAAGCGCTGGAGGGGCACTGCAATTTGCAGGCTGTTTCTGCAGAATTGTCTCGGCCCCTGGAACTGGCATAGCTTCGAATGAACAAGCCTATGCAATATATATAATCATTCAAACCTTCTTGTTAAGTTTGGTGTTTTGGGGGGGGTCATAAAAATTTATGGTCAGTGGCCACGAATGCAAACCAAGCCGCATATGGGTTCTTGTTTTTCACACCTGGTGGAAATCGCTCCCTGATATAATAAAAAGATTAAGATTCTATTTATTCAAAATTTTGTAAAATGGTAAGCTGAATGGAGACCTGTTATCATCTATAAATGAATAAAGACGGAAATCATTGATGGAAATATTTAAAAAAGAGGTGGCAATTTTGATCCAAATCCATTAAACCATTAATTCGTATCCATCTCACTTAGGCTCAGTTTGTTTCGAGGGAATAGGAGGGAAAGGAAAAGAAATGAAATGGTGGAATAAGGTTTTTTATATTTGAATTGGTTTTTTAAAAAATGGAAAGGAAAGAATAAGATTTAGTTATTTTTTGTCGGCTTGGTTGCTGTCCAAAAGTGGGCGTAAACGAAGGAAAGATACCAAAATTAATGCAAATTGTGAAATTTTCTAAATTTTTTTTATGCATTGATAAATTGACTTTTAAATTAGGGATGAAAATGTAACTAACTCGTGATAGCTTACTTTTCTTTACTTTCATAATCCAAAAAAGATGAATGGATTCTGATTTCCTTTGTTTTCTTTTTCACTGCAGCTGTCTTCTTTACTTTCCTTCTCTTTCCATCAGTCCCAGCGGTGCCTTAATTGGCTATGGATTTATCCAAAACCTTAAACGGAAGCTAATGACTATCCTGGTTTTTAGTGAATAATCCATTAACATCCTTTAATGAAAAAAATTTACGACTCTGTTTGGGGTTTTTTTTTTTTTTTTTTTTTGGTTTGGGTTACATAAACATCACCCATTTCAAAATTGACTAGGTAGTTGACAGAAACCACTATTGTATGGTAATTTAACCACGTCCACAAAATTAGTTCAAATTCCAAATTAACTTTTTTGAAAAACAACTAAAAAATAAATAGATACGCTTAAAAGACAAAGTAATTCTCTCCCAAATTCAGGTTCCCATATAAAAAGAAAAGGAAAAGGAAAAGGAGACGTAGACAGTAGACAC